CAGTGTGAATGTTCCAGCTGTGAGAGTGTCTGTCTGCGTCTCCGGTTTGACTGGCTGTGGGTGAGACACTCACTGAGCAGGTTTGGGGAGAAAATCAGGCCTGAGTACAGTGCATTTCTGTTCATTTGCATTACAGGTAAAAGTAGGCCTATACTTGGGTCACAGTGGCAGCAGCCTATTGGCAACAAAAAATATTATATAGAATATATATAAGGAAAGAATATATATATATATATATATATATATCCACTGGTGGGTGTAACTAATTACTAAGTAATTACTAATAACTTTTCCCTTGAAAATGTAAAGGAAGGGATTACTCTTAATTTATCTGTAATTTAATTACAGTTACTTCTGATGCAATTGAGGTAAATACTGTGTACACTCTAAAAAATGCTGGGTTGTTTTAACCCAATTTTGGGTCAAATATGGACAAACCCGAAATGTTGGGTTAAAAATGTAATGTAAAAATTTAACCCAACGGCTGGGTTAGTCCATATTTGACCCAAAGTTGGGTTAAAACAACCCAGCATTTTTTAGAGTGTATAGATCAATCCGATCTCACAGCGATTCGTATGCATTTTATGAGGTGTCTAAATATTAATTTCGTATATACAAATTCGTATGAATTATTGTAAAATATGTATGAAAAAGGTGTGAAATGTCATAAGATCAGAGTCAGACATATACAATAGTGGGTTTAACATCAAAATTTATTGTCTGATGCTAAAAAGTATGTTTTTATAATGTAACCTTCTCCACCTTGGTCTGTTTAAGGATAATTCATGCATTTTTATAGTATTTATTTGAAAGAATTAATACAGATTCATGTCTATCCTTGTATTATTCAGCTGGTTGAGATTGATATGGGATTTTGAAAGTAATTAGTAATTAAAAGTAATTAAATACTTTTTAGAGAGAGTAATTATTACAGTAGGCTAATCTAATTACACTGTTGAAGAGTTAATTAGTAACTAGTAATTAATTACTTTTTTAGAGTAACTTACCCAACACTGTATATATCACTCCAAATTGATACCCTGGTATCACTCCTCAGAGTGATATCACAAAAATTATATTGTTACAAATTACAAATACATGATCATCAAATGTGTCAAAATAAAATGCAAAAATGTATCACCAATTTTTTATCAAGTGGCCAGTATCATTGGCTCCGTAACGTATGCCAGCGGTGAAATATTTGGTCTTATGCTCCGTGACTCCGTCAAACTGCTTGATGGCTGGTGCAAAATAGATGACAGGGACCAAGAGGGAGAAAAGTAATGTAAAATAACCACTAGAGTCACATTGATAACTTTAATGATGTCTTTACTGTCTTTCTGAGTCTTGAAAGTGGGATTTGCGTATATAGTTCATTTTTCATCTGATAGGTTTCATTCTGCCCCCCACGGTCAATGGGGGGACAAAAACCTATCAGATTTCATAATAAAGTGTTTCATCATTTGAGTTCAGAAGATGAACAAAAGTTTTATGGGTTTGTAACGACATGAGTGTGGGTAATTAATTACATGTTTTCATTTTGGGGTGAACTAACCCTTTAAAACTGCGAATAGTTCCTTTTCAAATGGTTAAAAAAATAAATGATTTCCACTTCAGCCAAAGTACTTTTTTTTCCCAGCTGTCGATTGATTTTATTTATCAAATAAATAGTTCTATGAAAAATTATTAGTCTCAAATCGATTTTTTTCACAAAAGTGACTGGCCTAAAATAGAACCTGTCTCTGATTTGTAGGTTGCATTGACACCTAGCAGTGGATTTTTATTTTTATTTATTTTTTATTAACATTTATTTACCTAGCGGTGGATGCAGTTTGAAGACCCAGTCAGTGACGTCACAAGATGCATTTTTTGTAATATACCTACCTACCGACCCTTTTTTGTGTGGCTGTTACTGCAAACCAAAATATTTTTAAGTATGGCCTCATTTAGCAACTTTCAGCAACAAAATCGACCTACCTTTAGCAACTTCCACTGAAAATTATTTGGCAACACTGACTACAAGACTCATTAGGCCTCCATGCTCAAGGCCGCCCTCTGCTGTCACACTCTTACATTCATTTATTCATGGCTTCTGACCTGCTTTTACTGTCTATGCTTCTGATATTTTCACAGAACTATATTCTTTGGTTTTACTCATTGTTGTGGTTGATGAAGGGGATTTGGCGTTTGTGTTACCTCATATTTAAACTCCTGTGAAACAAGAAGTCATGACTGGACGATTTCATGTTACCCTGGTGTGCTAAATAAAGGTGAATATTAATGGGAATATCCTTTACTCGTAAAATATTCTAGGGGTGCCAATAATTGTGGCCAGCGGGTTTTGGAGAAAAACATTTATTTCATAATGTCATAATTTCATTTTTTTTTTACGTCCAGTTTTGATCATATTTACCAGGGGTGCCATCAATTCTGACCATGACTGTACACACACACACACACACATACATATATATATATATGTGACATTGCATGGGCCATATTACACAACATTGCACCATCAGAAAAAATATAAAACATTTCATTAATGTTTAATAAAAGACAAGACAAATATGCTTAGTTCTTTGAGTTTTATTTGAATGATTCTTTGTAAAGAAAAGCCAGTGATCAAGTCATCTTTTGCCTGCAAATAATATTGTACTCTGTGTGCACTTATTCTGAAGTTCCTATGAAGCAACTCCATCTCTAGTGCCAGTTTTTTTTTTCTTTAAGTTGTCAAGTATTTTCAAAATACTCGGGTAGGGGGTGAACCTGTCAACACATGGGTTATGCATCAAAAATTAAAAGGAAAAGTAAAACACTGCCCACCTCTGCCTCACTGCTTTGTGCAGACTCTTCTGTATTTGTGGACTCCTGCAACTCATATTGCATTCAAAAATAAATGCAATCAAGTGTAAATCAAGTAAAGCTATGTATGCACTTAAAGATACCTGAGAGGGTTTCTTCACTGTCCTGTGCATTGGGGAAAAATGGGCATTACAAAATGTTGTACTTTCTTCCCTTTTGATGTAACATTAGAAAAAGTCCACTTACTGCACATGCTTCAGCCACTTGCTTGGGAACACATAAAAGTGTTAGTGTATTGAAGTGATACTGGGGGGAAATTTTATCAATAACTCATGGCAACATATTTTTTTGATATTTGATGATATTATCTTGGATGTCTCATTTGATCTCGGATGTTTTAAGCCAGGTACAAAGAACGGGTCTGCAACAGAGATGTGATTTTTAAGTTAGCATCACACTATTGATCCATATTAAAATATTTAATGAGCAAGACAAAAGTACAGGGGAAGTACAGATGCAAGACACAAAAGTAAAACTTAGTCTTTAAAATTTAGAAACAGTAGATATTTTATATTTCATATTCGTTTGAACGGAAACAATCAGCATATCCTAAATTGACTTACTTCCTTGGGCATTTGTTGTGTTTGTTGGATTGGCTTAGCTGTGGGCTGGGAAGAGCTGGGGATAGGAGGAAGCTTGACAAACTGCCCTCGGCTGGACATCGGGGACTTTTCTCTCATCATAATTCTGTTCTGGTGAAAGCGCTCCTGTTGATGATACATAAGAATAAGAAAACATCCAAGCTTAATGTTAATAATGATCAATAATGGTTGAAAAAAACCATTGAATCCTATGATAGCCTTACCCTCATCGTCGCAATGGTGTTTTTGAGGCGGTGGTTGTGGTCTCAGTCTAGGCATGTCTCACAAGACAGCCAAGGAGGACATTGGGGCCTGTGCATGCACTTTGGAAAAATGTCCATTCTTCTCCAGACCTCGTCTATTTGGTATGGATACCTGCCTGTATAAAACAACACATGTTAATATGGTTCTCATGAAAAAAACGTCACATTCAAGTGATATGTTCTGAATTCAAATGTATAAACTGGTTTAAGATGGTTGGACTAACTCACCACTGGGCTGGGTAGAGCCGAAGGCAACTTTTCTTCGGACAGGCAGCGACAGCATCGGCTTTTCGCACTCATCAAACATGGAGGGAAATGTTGGAGACTCGAGCGTTGCATATTTGTTTGGTCTTCTTATGGGTTCGTATTTTGATTGTGAATACAAGCCTGTATAAAACAACACATGTTAATATGGTTATCATGAAGAAACTTCATATTCAAGAGATATGCTAAGAATTTAAATGTAACAAACTGGTTTGAGATTGTTGGACAAACTCACCTCTGGGCTGGGAACAGCCGAAGGCAATAGGGCTGAAATACGCCGACTTCTTCTCCGGTGCTTTTTCCTCTTCCTTTTTGTAATGGTTCATGGTCCTTACTTCCTTGGGCATTTGTTGTGCAACAGTTTGCTGGACTGGCTTAGCTGTGGGCTGGGAAGAGCTGGGGATAGGAGGAAGCTCGACAAACTGCCCTCGGCTGGACATCGGGGACTTTTCTCTCATCATAATTCTGTTCTGGTGAAAGCGCTCCTGTTGATGATACATAAGAAAACATCTTAATACAATGCTCGATATATGAACACAAGCTTAATGTTAATAATGATCAATGATGGTTGGAAAAAAAACATTGAATCTTATGATAGCCTTACCCTCATCGTCACAATGCCCTCTGGGTGTCGTTGAGGCGGTGGTTTTGGTCTCAGTCTAGGCGGTGGCGGTGGTTGTGGTCTCCGTTTAAGCGGTGGCGGTTGTGGTCTCAGTCTAGGCATGTCTGAGTCTGAACCACACACAGGTAGTTGTACAGGAATGAGATCTTCCCTGGGCTTTTGCCTGCGAAATGTTGTCCTATTCATGATGTAAAATAGTACGCTGATCCAAAATCTATGATCTGAAACCGTACACAGCTGTAATGTGCAATTCAACTGTCTTTAAAAAACAGATCCAAACGGATATAAAACTGCACACTAATCAAAAGCTGTATCACTGAAGGCAACAAGTCACGAGTGAGTTTCAGTACAGGTTTGCAGCGTCTAGTACTGTGACGTATCGAATAGAATGCATTCCGATGACGTCAAGCAGCAGCGCGTCAGAGCTAGGATTATTGTTTTGATTTAAAAAACTTGAAAACAAGAGAGAATGACCTGTCACCACAATAAGTCCATGAGAGGAATGTAGATAAGGCTATATAATTAGTTGTCTTTTTTTTTGCCTTCACTAAGTAGTAGAGCATCAACCACAAGTTTCTGCACGGCCCTAACTAACTAAAGCCTAACGTTGTATTATTATTCTGTCACGTTACACGTTGAAAGTTGAGACCAACAATTCAGTTTACTTACATTCTCTCACCGACGACGTCTTGTTGTGTTTTTCTATTACATCGAGCTCTGATTCCGGCTGATCCCGTTGCTCGAGTCTCCCGCCATTAGCCAACCATTTAGCGCGTTGAGTCAGAATGTCAATAAGGAATAAAATACACAAACAATGACATAAAAAGTAAACAAATATGAAATAATACTAATACAAAAAAATAACGTCTGATAACATGAATGTTCGGATCTTGTCATTTAAAATGCCAATTACTGTGACTGTCATGTATAATTTTAAAATAAAAGCCCTCTCACAACAAAAGCTGTTTTGTCGATTAAATCAGATTGTAATAAAAAGAAAACTCCCCATTCCCTGCGCTGACCAATTTCACTCCAGATTGATATATCCCTCTTCAGAGTCAGAAATAACCACAAATACATCGAAAAGTATTTTGTTTCAAATTTATCATCAAATGAAGGAATGAATGAAAAGTTTTTATTTCGAACATGTACAAAAAACAATTAAAAAAACCCCTATCATATTAACAATTAATAACAAAAAACAATTAATAACAAAAACAATTTTAACTTATACATGTCCGAAAAGGAGTAGGAAGAAGCATAAACTTATTTAATCCTACCCCATCTCCACTACTTTTTAAATAATTAATTAACTAATTAACCGGTTGACAGAACATTTTGATCTATTTGTCTCTACACACCAAAAGACAAAACCGACATATTTACCTATGTTTATATACATCTTCAATAATAAAAAAAAAATACATAAAAATAAATAATAATAAGAAAAAAAGAAAAAATATAAATAAACTATCACCTAACTAATGGCATCCGACGCTCTCGGACACATTGTGTATTTTTTTTATTTGTCACAAAGCTCGAATCTTTTCTCGAATCTTTTCAAATTGGTTTCTTGAACATGACAATGAGTTCACTGTACTAAAATGGCCCCCACAGTCACCAGATCTCAACCCAATAGAGCATCTTTGGGATGTGGTGGAACGGGAGCTTCGTGCCCTGGATGTTCATCCCACAAATCTCCATAAACTGCAAGATGCTATCCTATCAATATGGGCCAACATTTCTAAAGAATGCTTTCAGCACCTTGTTGAATCAATGCCACATAATTAAGGCAGTTCTGAAGGCCAAAGTTTAGGAACACCATACAAACACAGTATTAGTATGGTGTTCCTCCTAACAATCCTTTATGTGATATTTGTGTGTGTGTGTGTGTGTGTGTGTGTGTGTGTGTGTGTGTGTGTGTGTGTGTGTGTGTGTGTGTGTGTGTGTATTTGTTTTGAACTTTTATTAACAATCTCTACTCGTTGAATTAGTTCTGTTATACTTACATTAATTTCCATGTGAAAAACTAATAATAGTCAATTAAATGCATTATGATGTTGCATGGTATCAGTGACGTCAGTTTTGAGTATTTGCATGAATATGATACCACAAAAGCTGAAAAACAGGAATTGTTTTGAAGGGAAGCCTAAAACATTCATTGATTTTAGACAGCATGTTTCGCTTTGATGCAGAAGAGCAAAAGTTTGCCGATCTGTCTGCTATAGAAAGCCGAAGGGTAAGGATCTCATGTATTTTTTTTATTTGCTACATGTATTTCTTGCTGCCTGAATGAGTTCATTGCTCAGAGACAAGTGTGGGTTTAATGTGTTTCCTGAGGTATTTACACAGTAAAGCTCAGCTTATGTCCACGGGAAATCTCTGAAATAAGAAATTGGTTAAGAACAGTCAGTGTTGCTCAACAATAATGAAGAAAAAAAGAGAGACTTCTCTGGATGTCATCATAAAGGACTTTTCACCCTTGAAAAAAAAGACTAAAAAATGTCAGCATTTAATTTTGTGTGCAAGACATACAAAGTTATGTAGAGCTAAAGTTATGCAAGTTAGTTTCATACTTTCATAAAAGTTGAGATACGTGCTTGGCGTCACCATCATGTGAACACAGACATAACACGAATGATAAACACTTGACTTCTGTATAATAGCCCAATAAAACTGAGTGATTAGTGCTATAAAAACTAATGTGGCATAATAAAGGGAATATCATGGTAGTAAATAATTATCATGTATGCCATGGCAGTACTTTAATGAATACAATGGTTGGTATTTCCAAAACATCATATAAATATGGCACTTCTGTCCTTTGGTAAGTCATTTTGTGATAATAAAAAGTCAAGTTAATTATTAAAAAAGTCCCTTAGGGGATAGAAATTATGGCATACAAGTCATACTTTAAACAATAATGGAAACTATAATTATGATGTAGAAAGTCACAATTATTCTCACAATACAATTTTGACTTTTTATTTTATTACTTGGTAGGCTGTTTCATATTTATGACTTTAAATAAGAATTTTGACTTTTTATGTCAAAACTATTAAATATAACCAGAGGTTAGATAGTATACTAGTACTCCATTACAAGTAAAAGTTGTAAAGACCGAATTTTACTTGTTTTACTTTACTTTTTACTGTAAAAGTACATAACTATGCTACTCATTTTTAAAAGTATCAAAATTAAAAAGTAAATGTAATTGTTTTATTATTGTTGCATTGCGTTACAACCCTGGCTCAAAAGGACACAAAAACAGAAATCTGCCAATCTAAAGAAAGTTTATTTAATATTAAAGAAAAAAAAAAGGACTGTAGAGGCAGAAACACTGCAGTGTTGGCTGCAAGACGAGAGATAGCAAATGTGTCCAAGTTTTAAAGTGCATGAATTAACCGGTTGATTGGAGGTGAGCTACCAGGGAAACTGCAATGAAACACAGATTAGAACACTCCCACATAACACATTGTTCTATGTAATACTACAGCACCTTATGCCTCTGAATCTTTGCCTGCCTACCAGGGCCGGATTATCCAGAGATGGGATTGGGCGATTCAGCCAATAGGGGGGCACCAAGGGCCGGATTATCCAATGGGCATTTTGGTGCCCAAGAGTGAAAGAATTGTTTTTTAACATTTCCGATAACAGCGTATACCTGTCTTTTTGACAAAAAAGTCGCCCGCCACTAAATATCTACAGTGGCATAGGTCGTAGGTTAGCTTTGAAAAGTAGCTTGAAAGTAGCTTTTGGCATGTTTTACAAAGTCTGATGGGAAAGAACAATCATTTATGAACTTTAGTTTACTCCAACATACAAAAAAGTTCCTTTCAAGTCAGTAAAATGGTTAATGCCAAATTAAAAAGTCCTTAGCCAAACCACATCGACATTGTGCCCAGGTGCCTCTGAATTCAATCCGGCCCTACTTGCCCTCATATCAATATCACATTTATTTCTAGAACACAGTTCCATTAGTGGGATTGAATGTGAGATTAAATAAGTGCATTTTAATAACATCCACAATGGTTCCGGACACCCAAATGGTGGTTCCCTCAAATAGAGCATTTAGTAGCCTTATAGCTTGTGTGCGCCAAAAAAAATGACAAAATTCGCATTTAGAAGACCAAACCTAACATTGAAAAAAGAAACGTCAGATTAACGGTTAATCTCCTATGTTGGACCAAAATAGTGTTGGACATTGTAGGCTATTGTGTTTGAAAGTGAAAATCGAATTGACGTCAGAAACCTTAGTCGGGTTCTGAGCTTCTGACCAACAACATCACCCGACCCGACGGTAAAATACATGGTAATAGTGAATCAGGTTTGAATAACGTGTGCTCAAGCCAATAGCTGTTCAGAACCCAGAGAAGAGACCCTCCTCCGCCTCCTGAACCTTAAACCTTCTCTCAACCTGTCCGTTTGTTTCCCTCACTCCACTTCACTGCACTTTGGGAAGCGAGCTGATAAATGCAGCCGAGAGATAAAAGAAATGTTTTTTCCCGTTCCCTCAGAAGAAGCATAGCGAGCGTCGCCTGAGACAGCGGTGTGTTTGTGGACATGTTTTCATCATCGCTCCGTTTCTGTGAGGTAGGAGTTAGCCAGCCTCTCGTGACAACACACACACGTTAAACGTTTTATTGACATGTTGTGTTTTTTAACAGCCGTGGTGTCAGGTGTATCTTATTGGGACTGCGTGTAACCGTGTGATAGTGAAATTCATATGTGTTGGACGGGAGTTGTTGGACTAAAGGTAATAAGTCTTAGAGGTTCGAGGCAGCTAATGCGCTAACCGGATGTGTCTGTTACCGTTATAACTGCAAGACATAAGAGCGAGCGGTCGCCGTGCTGTTTCCATTGGTTACATGGTTTGTTGTTTAAAAATGTGGTTTATCTATGACTTATTAAAGTGGTGTGTGTGTGTGTGTGTGTGTGTGTGTGTGTGTGTGTGTGTGTGTGTGTGTGTGTTTTGGGTTTTGAGGTCTTTGACGCAGTGTGAAACGATTATACTAACAAAATTACCCAAAAAGTAATGGTAATATACCCAAAAAATAATGTTACCATGTGTTTGGAAATGCATCACAATAATTACATGAGATATATTTTATTATAATTAGAAAACAACAGGTATTATATAATATTATTTAGTATTTTATAATTAACATAATGTAATATTTTATTGTATTGTAATTATTGTATAATATACAGTAAGTTACCGGACATAAGTTTGGATGCATTACTATTTTTTTTAAAATAGACTTTAAAATATAATTTATATCTGTGATTAAAGCTGAATTTTCAGCATCAAAATTTGTACTGCTCAATATTTTTTGGGGAACCTGAGATGCTTTTTTTTCAGGATTCATTGATGAATATATACAGTTAAAAAAGAACAACATTTATTCAAAATATAAATCCTTGCTGACAATATAAATCTTTACTATCACCTTTTATTTAAGACATTGCTGAATAAAAGTATTAGAAAATTAACTTGGGTGCGTAGAAAAAGACCAAATAGGTAGGTCAACAAATCTGCAAATAAAGAACTCCCCCACACTATCAGTAATTGCAAATAATATAAAAAGACAGAACGTTGCTAATAAACCATTTTTATTTTACTTGCAAGTACTGATAGTGTGTGGGAGTTCTTTATCAGGTTAAAAATTAGAAAGAAAAAAATTACTGACCCAAACTTTTGAACGGTAGTGTACGTATATTGAAAATTCAGATTTGATCACAGGAATAAATTACATTTTACAATATACTGTGTTCAAGTAGAAAACTATTATTTCAAATTATAATAATATTTTAATATTTTTTCCTGTATTTTTGATCAAATAAATACAGGCTTGATGAGTAGAAGAGACTTCTTTCAAAAACCTTTCCAAACTCTTTTGACCGGTTCTGTATACAATACAATTTATGTAATTAAAATGTAATAATATATATCCAATAAGTCCCATGTTTTATTTTTAAAACTAGATACCTGGTATCTTATTCCATTTCTGGACCATGGTGTTGTTATAAATATATATACTGTATAGTTTTCACTGAAAAACAAATAAACAATTTTGAATTGCAAAAACATTTATTTATTCAGAGTCGCCATGACTTAGCCTGGATGCCAGCCCAAACTCGATGACTGCAGCTGGAGAATTGAGATGTATTCTGCTGTCGCGTCTGTTGTAAAATAAATCGACAGCGCATTCATTTTAATAGACAAACAGAGAACTGCCGTCCTTCCTACATGATTCGGTTTAACTTATCAGCTGGCTCTGACGGTCGCTAAGAAGATGGGACATAATGAAAAGCCTGTGGTCGTTGTGGTTTTTCCTTTGGTCGCACTCATGGAGGATCAAGCAAAAGAAGCACCACTCGTTATTTAACTTCTAAAATAAGTAAGTTCTAGTTGACAACTTTATGCAAAGTAGTTTGCTTACTGTGTTGCTCTGATTGGTTGTAGGTTTACCGACTATCCAATTGAGTGCAGAGTTTATTTTTTACTTGTTCGGTTAAGACACGCTTCATAATCAAAGCCCTATTGAGCAGTATCAGACTCACATTCTGACAAGAATATGAGTAGGACAAAGTCAGGCTAGCCATGACTGTGACCAATGAATAACTCCACAACAACTACTTTAATTTATCCACAACATCTGTTCTGTGATGCGCATTCGTGACTCTCCTATTTGAACTAGTTCATCAAAATGAACATTTCGAGTCAACTCGTTCATTTCGTTGGTTGAATGACACGAAAAAAGATTCGTTTATTTTGATGAACGAGTTCGAACAGGAGATTCACGAACGCGCATCACAGAACAGAGCAAGGCGACCATTTGAGCTTATAAAACTTAAACTTTCTTTGAACCGTTTGGTTCCCATTGAAGTCCATTATATGGAGAAAAATGCTGGAATGTTTTCATCAAAAACCTTCATTTCTTTTCGACTGAAGAAAGAAAGATATGGTCCACAACCCTATAAAGGTTTAGGTGTTGATTTAGGCTTCAGTGTATTTTAATATTTATTAAAGTCCCCATGTACTCTAATTTTATCCCTTAAAAGATCATTTTGTTGATGTTTGATGACACATTTAAACATTTTATCCTTGAAAATCTTCATGCCTTAAAATAGCTCGAATGTAACACTACACCATTGCCTCATTTAGTGTATGCGGTTGGTTCTATGAATATCTTGGTTACAAGTTTGTGACAGTGAATTTAAACTGAGTTTGTCTTTGGTTCACTGCAGCGCAGTTTTAAGGAGAGAATACTCAGCAATGATGTTGTTGACTTGTGAATTTACACATGGTTTGTTTTAAAGCATATTAAAAAAACACAACATAGACCATATAAACAACATTAAAAGCTGGATTTTTTAATGAAAAAGCTGAAATATTCATTCTGAATTTACCACAACATCTGCAGTTTTCACCAAAATGTCACAGATTTAGCCTAGTTCATAGCCTTTCCAATGCTGTAGCTGTACAATGTTTTGTTTGGTTACCTAAAAATGGGCTTCAAGTCGCAACATTTGTATGAACTGGTTTTATTTAAGTCAAAAATATGATTTAATGTGACTGGTACAGGCAACATGGATAGATCAGGTAAAAGGTGTTAAGCAACTTCCAGAATCATTAAAAATATATAATTTAAAAGGGTCAGAAGAACAATAGTTGACTATAGCAACTAACTTAGGGTGGTTTGGTAGACGCTTCTCCAAAAGTATTGTGAGCTGATTGTGAAAGAGCTTGATTTCACTTTCAGGCCTGTCACTGCATGTTATGAAGGTCTGACACAAACACATTAACAAACTTCTATTGTTTTTGGCCTGTGATGAACTCAAGTTTTACCAATGTGTTGCGTGCTTGTGTTTTCAGGTGCCTCGGACCAGATGAAGCCTCGTGTGAGATGATCAGGATGAAGTCCACGCGGAGCTTCATGTTTTTGATCTGTCCTATCATGGTGCTGATATTCCTCTACTATTCCTCTGGCAGACTGCACCTACGGACCTCAGTGCAGAAATCTCGTGAGTGTATATGTTTTCAAATGTGACACACACGCCTGGATGTTTCTAGTAATCCTCAATACTTTGATTAGCAGGTTAGCATGTTGAAGCAGATACATGGCTTTAGATGAATTAAAGGGATAGTTCACTTTAAAATTCATTTTTGGTATGTTTTAGCTTACCTCAAGGGCTTCCAAGGTCTTTGTTTCCACAGTACTTTCAATTTTGAGATTTTTAGGTCAAACCGTTCTTGTCTGGCAGTCATATAATGGAGGTCTATGGTCACCACCTCAAAGAGCATGCACAGAGAAGTCCAAATTAAACATGATTTAATGACTCGTAAATGTAAGCACACATTGATGGCCTAAGACACCAAACGAGTGGTTTGGGTGAGAAAACTAACAGTCACAGCCACAAAGCGCCCGTGCCCTCAGATCACTTGGAAGTGGCTGTTGTTACAAGAGGTAAAAACGATATAAATACTGTTTGTTTTCTCACACAAACCGCTCGTTTGGTGTCTTAGGCAATCAATGTGTACTTACATTTACGAGTCATTAAATCATGTTTAATTTGGACTTCTCTGTGCATGCTCTTTGAGGTGGTGACCATAGACCTCCATTATATGACTGATACACAAGAACGGTTTGACCTAAAAACATTACATTTCAAAATTGAATCCACTGCGGAAACAAAGACCCCTACATCTTGGATGCCCTTGAGGTAAGCTAAAACATACCAAAAATGTATTTCCAAGTGAACTATCCCTTTAAAGTGATTCTCAGGGTGTGTGTGGTTACAGCATGGATCCTTACTTTCATGAGTGGATCTCGAAGGAGCTCTAGTTTGTTAGTCACATGACCGAATCCCCTTATGAGTGTGTTTTAGAGTAAATGTTTGAACAAAAGGCTTCTGTGCGAGGTTGTTTCTATAATGCCGACAGCTTTTTCATTTCTCTAAACTGTGAATTGTCACAAATTTTTCCCTTCTCTAGATTGGGTAGTTTTCGATCATGACTGGATTTCCCCCATATATCATGACTAAAATTAGGTCTGTCTGTTCAGCAACTCTTCTTCCTGTTTGGCTTCAAGTTACTGGTGAAGTCATGACCTTAAACTGAAAAGACCCTGAGAAATAAAAAAGTTTGCTATGATGGCCAGAGGAGGGAGCTAAAGACCCCGTCATCACTGGCCAGCCATATTCACCTCCAGGCCAAAAATGGTCATCTTTGAAGGCAAAATGATGACAATATGACATGCTTAATATTACCCAGCCCATGTGTTTGTTTTAAAAGATCTATTTTTGTTTCTTCTCATATTTTGTATTCCCAAAGGAACCTTGTACTGTAGATTTGCTGCTGTTAACCACTTTGTAAACTGTTTTTGGTTTCGCCCCAACTGTATTTTCTCAGTTGTGATGCAGCACTACCCCTTCTGTAAAACAGAAGCTGTGGTATCTAAAGTCATCACCACCTCAAATCTCAAATGAGATTCATTATATAACAGTGCCTGCAGTGACTCACAGTGAGTGGCAAAAAGACTGAGCGGCTGTATTTGTTATTAGCGTGAATGCTGCGAAAAACAAACACAACACATATAAAGTGGGAAAGAGCTTTGCGATTGACTGTACAACTAGATTTGACAGAAAATCGGAGGCATATTTTTACAGACTGCGATAGAAAGAGGAGCAAATGGATCGCTGCAATTCACAGAAATAACTGGACTCCAGTCAGCCAAAGGTGGATTTGCAGTTATCATTTTGTGTCAATATGCTGAATTAAGGTGTAAAAAAATACCGTTATATATATTAACAACTCATCAATTAAATATTTATCATTGGATATTCTACATTATTGGATTTTTTTTAATAAACACTGACCAAAAAAAACTATAAAGTTTTAGGGCTGGACGATATGATATACTATATATATACGCTATATATAACACTGATATAAGTGATCACCCGGATTTAGACCTACCTAAAGCGTTCACAAGCAAATTTGCTTTATGTTTAGGTCTATATTGCTTTTATTTCCCCGGTGTCGAAATCAGGCAAACATAAATGTCAGGCAACACGATTCCTGGCTGCATGTCCATATCCATGGATCACTGGATCTTTAGTAAGTTGTAAGGAACACAATATTGTGTCCAACATTTAGTTTAAATTGATAAAATTGTTCATTTTTTTTTTTTTTTTTTTTTTTTTAAATTAATAATTAATTTTTAATAATTGTTCATTTTAATCACATTTTCGTGGTTTCCCCTATTAAATCCAGTCACGCAGCAGATCTTTTGCCACTCAGTCAGGCTTGTTCCGGCGGGAAAGTGACGTCAATGCATTCCCTTTATTGTCAAATTTATTTAAAATAAAACATTTATATTTATTTCTCTGATCAGCATCATTACTCCAGTCTTCAGTGTCACATGATCCTTCAGAAATAGGTTACTGTGTAAAGCTGGTGCTTATCTTTTTTTAACATCTACTCTCGCGTATTGGAATTTTTTTTTGGCAGAATGATAGTATTCATTAAACATCTTACTTAGGGATGGGCAATGATTAATTGCGATTAATCGCATCCAAAATAAAAGTTTGTGTTTACATAATATATGTTTGTGTAGTGTACACATGCATGTATATATTTAAGAAAAATCTGCATGTATACAGTATATTTTATATATATTTATTCACAATTAATATTATATATAAATATAAATATTTGATATATTAATAACACATTTTTCTTAAATATATACATGCATGTGTGGGTATTTATATATACAAATTAATTGTACACAGTACACACACATATATTTATGTAAACACAAACTTTTATTTTGGATGTGATTAATCGCGATTAATCGTTGCCCATCCCTATTACCCCAAACGTTTGAATATTAGTGTATATTGTCACATATTATATTTATAAATAAATAAGAGAATCTGCCAAGATGAAATGGCAGATATCGCTCATGTTTGTGATAATGAAAAACCAGACACGTGTACATGACCAGCATTTGGTTTGACTAACAGGCACAAGTAAAAATGTGCCGTTATTACATCATTATTCCATTATATCTTGGCACATGAAACCTGTTAATGTAGTTGTTACCATATAAATGCACTTTGTGTTTTGTATAACCATTTATGGAGTTTGGGTAACAAAGTAATGGCAAGTACCTTTGTGTTTAAACATAAAGTGGAACTGGGAATAATCTCTTTCACTAAGACTGATCAGCATTTGTTTGTGATTCTGTTCCATTTTGCTTTTTGGCTCAAACAACAGACACAAGCTTCAGGATATTTTCTCTTTAACCATGCTGCGTCACTCTGAAGTTGAACCACAAAATGCTACCATATTGCTTACCGTGTAACTTGTCTAATATATAATCTCACTTGTGCAAGAACAGGAAATCGGCTTTTCTCTGCTCACACTCACACCCAGGGTTTGCTAGCCTAGCGCAGCTGCAGTTTTTTGCATATTCCTCTTCCGAATATGGTGTGTTTTTCTGAGAATTTTCTTCCTTCCCTCCCACCTGGCAGAAACAGTCGACTGTGTGTCAGAATTGAATTTGTTCTTTGCTGTTTTATTCTGGATGTTTGGCACAACTTTCAAACTATTTTACCAGATTTGTCCAACAGATGCAACTGTTTATCAACTCTTCTCTTGCAGCCTGTCAATCTCCTACTCTACAGAAGATATTTATGATTATTACTATTTTCCATATTTTAGAATAATATCCAAATCAAAGCTTCTTTATATTTGAGCTGCTTATATTTATTTTTTTGAGCTGCTTTATTTATTTGAGCTGCTTTATTTATATTTATATCTGTCTTGAGGTTCATGAAGTTTACAAGCTGTGTCATATCCATCTCATTTTAACTGTTGTATTTAGCAGAAGTCATGTATCATAAAACCATGTTACAGCTAAATCGGTTTATTAGCTGGTTGGTAAATTTGTGACTTTTTAAATGTGTGCATTTTCATATTTTTTCAAGGAACTATAAATGCTGGTTGGGGCCTTTGTCCAGTTCCTTTATGGACCTGATTGCTTTACAAATGAATGTATTGCTCTGTTTGCAGACCTGTTTGTTTGGTTTAGTTGCAGTGTGTTTTTTTTTTAAACTGCTAACCCGTGTGTGAGATGCTAATGGATACTAACAGCTACAGAGATACTAACAGCATCTGAGGTGCAGGGGCGCAACTACCCAGTTTCAGAGGGGTATGCAGCAACAATTTTAGCATTTAACATTAAATGTAATGTAAGTGTGCTGTGTAATAAGTGAGTAGGAAGAAATGAGAGCTAACAGAAAAAAATAAGTGCAAAATTGTCGTTTATTAACACAATTAAACTATAGCTACTCCACCTTGATGAACCCCCCTCCTTCTCTAGGGGGGTTCGGGGGCATGCTCCCCCGTAAGAAAATGTTGTGTTCTGTAATGTTAAATTCAGCAGTCTGGTGCACTTTGAGAGTTCAAAATTAAAAGCTCCAACCCATATTCAGGGTGCAAATTAAACAAAGAAAAATTTGAACCTCTTTTAGTTAGTGTCTGTCTACATTACACTACTACATAATAATAGTTATAATATTAATCCCATGATAGTAATAGCCATAAAGGCTATTGTAAAACAAATGCACAGATGTATGAGTTTTGTGGGCCGAAAAGCACGTCGGCCCAACGGGAATCTCCCGGTAGTCCCGATGGCCACAGAGATATCGCCTACATGCCTGGATGTCACATTTTAAATCCTACCTGTTGGCTTTCAGCAATGCATGCAGTTATTTAGCTGCTGTCGCATCAATTGACATGCCATCTCCTTTTCTCTCTTTCTTTTTCTATTTTTAGCCCCGCAGCATTTTGTTTTATCCATCTTTTTCGACGACAACTCACTACTCGTACCTGCTCGCTCAGCGCTCACGGCGCCCCCGCCCGCTCGCGATATTACCCGCCAACCCTTCTCCATGAGGGCGCCTACTCTAGCCTGGCTGTTAGTCCTCTAAAATTTTATATAACATTGAAGGAA